TAAATTTGAAAATTTACCTAACATGGACAAAATCCTGAAAAACACAAGTTGCTAAATATAACTCATGAATAAATAGGTGGTTTGAATAGCCCCATAGGCATGTATTAAGAAAATTAAATTTGTAATTAAAAACATTCTCATAATGAAACTCCAGGCTTAGATTGCTGCACTCACATATTTTCCAATATGTATGACATGAATTCTACACAAATGCTCAGAGAAAACAGAGTATTTCCCAATTCTTTATCAAGCCAGTTTTACCTTGATGGCAAAATCAGACAAAGAAATTCCAAGAGAAGAAACTTCAGACTATTTTCCTCATCAATACAGATGGAAAAATACTTAACAAATTATATCAAACCAGAGCCATCAATATATGAGAAGGGCAATACTTCACAATCAAGTTGGGTTTATCCCTGGAATGTAAGATAATCAATGTGTAAGTAAATCCATATGCTGAAATCTATAAAGTATTGATCACAGAAATTTTAACAGACCTAAATAAGTGTGGAGATCTACTACGCTTTGGGATAACAATATCCAATATTTTTGAGATTTTGTGTCTGCCCAAATTGATCTACAGATTCAGTATAATCCTTACCAAAATTCTGGTGGGCTTTAACATTTTTTGGAAATTAGCCAGCTGGTTAAAGAATTTATATAGAAGAACAAAGAGAATAGACTAGCCCAGACATTTTTAATAGAGAAAAACAAAGTTGAAGGACTCACATTCCTTGATTTTATAGTGCAAATCTACCATAATAAGACAGTATATAATTCATGTAAGGATAAGCATATAGATTAACCTAACAAAATAACAAATCCAGAAATGGACGTATGTGATCAACTGATCTATCACAAAGGATCCATGTAATTCCATGTAAACAGGATAACTGCTTCAACAAAAGGCACTGAACTATTGGAGAGCCCTGGGACAGGGAAGAGTCAAGACCCTCACATCTTCCACATACACAAAAACCAACTCTGAGTGTAAAACCTAGAATAGGACAGTTTCAGAGAAAAGCGTAAGAGAAAATCACTATGACTACAGATTTAGCAAAAATCTCTGAGAGAGGAAATAAGAACACAAATCACAAAAAAGCATTAAATCAGACTTCATTAAAATGTAAAACCTGTACTTTAAAGGTACTATTTAGAAAAGAAAGATAAGCCACAGAATAGGAGATCTCTGCTCACAGATCCTCACTAAAGCACCGCACCAGGAATATGAGATTCTCACAATTCAGTAATAAGAAGGCAAGCCAAGGAAAACAGACAAAATGTTTGAATCTGTTCCAAAGAAGCAAAACGGACTGTAAATAAGTACATGGAAAGATGTAATTAATAATTAGACATTAGAAATATAAAAACCATCATAGTGAAATGCCACACCTATTACACTAGCTAAAAAAGAAAGAACTCAAAAACTAATAGAGGGCCGTGCCTGTGACTCAAGGAGCAGGGTGCTGGCCCCAAATGCTGGAGGTGGCAGTTCCAAACCCAGTCCCAGCCAAAAACTGCAAACAAACAAAATAATAGAACCAAATTTGGACAACGATGAGCACAACAGAAACCCTAACATACTGCTGGTGGGTTGCACAACTGAACAGCTCTCTTGAAGAGCAGTTTGGAAGTTTCTAGTAAGCTTAAACATGCACATGGTACACTACTCAGAAAACTACTCCTAGGTGCTTACCCAACAGATAAGAAAACGTATGTCAGACACACAGCGGGGCATCACTTATACCAGCCTTACTCCAAAACTGAAAACATTCCAAAGTGTAACAAGTTACGAATAGATACACAAATAATGTTGTATTTGTTATATTGTTACAAAGAATACTACCTAGCAATAAAGGGCAATGGAGTACTGATCATTGAGGCAAAAAGAACACATCTAAGAATCATTATTTTATGTAAAAGAAGTCAGACATAAAAGTATTATATCATTTGGGAAAAGACAAAACTATGGAGAGAGTAATCAGATTGTTGGGTGATAGGGCTGAGGGAACTCTTTGAGGCGAAGCAAACAGTCTCTGTCTTCATTATGGTAATGGTTCTGTGACTGTACACATTTTTCAACATTCATTGAATACCTAAAAGTATGAATTTTACTGTATGTAAATTATATCTTAAAAACATGACTTTGAAAATTGCTGTACTATTTAAATTGATTTTTCCCTAGAGTAATTTTTTATAAATTTCCAAATTGTCAGGTGTTTTATAGTATTATGCGTTTTTGATGAACTTTTATTTATCTTTTAAAAAGTTACACATTTAAGAGGAACTCAGAGACATATCCAGTATGATTCTAGACTTTAAACTCCTGAAATCTGGAATTCATCACCTGACTCTCACTCCTAAAGATCTAGCATTATTCCTGAATAAGATGAGCTATTAGAATTTTAAAATTC